GATAATAAATAATTCGGGAGCGGGGTGGGGCAGCGTGGGCACGTGGCGCGTGTGTGTGCCTGTGCGTTTGCCTTGGCCTTGGCGCTTGCGCGGATGCGTCGTGACGGCAACTCCTTTTTCCACCACGTGTCTCTCCCTCATTGAACGTTTTTTTTTGCCGTTTTCTCCCTGCAAAGGGCTTAGGGCCCAAAAGCAGCCAAAAAACTTACTCTCGGGTTTTGACAATGCGGTGTGGTGGGTGGAGGCGGGGAACATTCCCGCTCCGATACCAGTGTGGCGGACCCATCAGGTGTGGTGCTCCGCCTGGGATAGAGATGTAGATGGAGGATGAAGGGGGAGCGAGATGGCACAACACAGCTCCCACGCTAGACTCCTCCGCACGTTCTCCAAAATGTGCCAATGTAGAATGGTCTCAAAAATAGACAGTAGATGGGGTATAGCCCAACAGACTGACTGGACTGGACAGGACTGGCTGGTACCAACATAGGTACCGGCCTGGACTGGACTACCCCGAATACAACACAGGCCTGTGAGAACAGGCCAAGAGGCTGGTCTCACAGGCCAACCAAAGGTTCGCTACACCATTGTCTCCCCTCCTACCTCTCTGCGACTACGGACGCGTCGAGCCACTCGCTCAGCCTGTTGCAACGAGCAGCTTGCGACTCGCGAGGATGTTGTGTCCTCCCTTCTGGACTTGAGCATGCTCCAGGCTCGTCAGGAGTGACTCACCCTCCATGTCGCTGCACTGTGTCGCCTTCTCGCGATCCTCTCTGACCCTGATCACACCCTCCCGATCATTCTAGTATAACTGGGGACCTCCACGAGGTTGTACTTAGCGATGTGGGATTTCGATTCTCAGGGCGACTTCATTCACCCACGTGTGGTGAAAAAAACTCGCTTACCCACGACAAGGTCTCCGACTCCCATCTTCGTCATCCTAGGGGATGACAAGACCCAACGCTTCTTCGATCAGACGGTCACCAGCCTCCCTTTCTTCCTCACTCTGGAGCCTACTGATCGTCCCCCGGCGTCTCGTCGTCACCGCTCCTCTGCACATTTCAATGTGATGGAGACGGGGAACGACTTCATTCTCGGTACTCCGTGGTCTCGTAGGCTTACTAGCGCCGAGGCCGATTGGGCGACCAGCACTCTCGTTCTCAGAACAAAGTGTGGACAGACGTATCGTGTACCTTTCATAGGTACCATTGTGACACCACGCCCTAATCCTCCTCCCCTGGAGCCTTCCATGCCCACACCATCTCCTACTATTACCGTCACCTCGCCTCAGCAGCTTGCCCACTTCATCCGACAAGACGACGTCGCTGGTGAAAGTTACGGATGTCTTGCACCAGGATCCACCCAGTCCCGACGTCGAGCTCATCTCTCTGGAGCTAGATCCTCCTATGTTCATGGCTTTCATCCCTGCTTCACTCCCTCCGCCGTCCGTCGAGTCCACCCTGCCGTCGCGTGCTGACGCTCACTCCGATGAACTCGCACGCTATACGGCCGACCTGGAGTCCGCAGTTCGTGACCTCTTTTGCGAGTACGCTGGCATCCCACTGATGCACGACGTCGAGCACTCCATCCAGCTTGTGTCTGACTATCGTATTGACCACCAGGCACCCTACAGACTCGCGATCCCCGAGGCCACTGAACTCAAGCGTCAGCTTGAGGAGCTCCTTAAACTGGGTTTCATTAAACCTATCAACTCCCCGTGGGGTGCACCCGTCGTCTTTGCTCGCAAAGCGGATGGAACTCTCCGTCTCTGCATCAACTATCACGGGCTCAACCGCTACACGGTTAAGAACAGCTACCCCATGCCTCGTTCCGACGAGCTTTTCGACCGCCTAGCACGGAACCGCTTCTTTACGAAGATTAATCTTCGTAGCGGTTACCATCAGATCAGCGTCGCTGCAGCGGACTAGCCGAAGACAGCGTTCCGATCGCGCTTCGGCCACTACGAGTTTACAGTGATGTCATTCGGCCTCACCAACGCACCCGCTACCTTCTAGAGGGCGATGAACGACATCTTCAGGGACATCCTGGAGTAGTACGTTCTCGTCTACCTCGACGATATCCTGATCGACAGTCGTACCCTTGAGGAGCATCTCAAACACCTCCGCGACGTCCTTGACCGCTTGCTCAGACATGGCTTCCACTCCAACTTGATCAAGTCACTGTGCCGCTTTGCCCAACACAAAGTGGATTTGTTAGGACACTACGTGTCTGACCAGGGTCGCCACATGGACGACGCGAAGATCATTGCTATTGCGGAGTGACCCGTTCCCACATCCGCCAAGCAGCTTCACAATTTCCTAGGCCTCGCTAGTTACTATAGTAATTTCATCCAAGGATACGCTAGGTATTCCTACATCCTTATCTCTACCCTCCTTTGAAAGAACCAACTATGGGCTTGGACACCCTTCCACGAGGACGCCTTCCACGCCCTCAAGAAGGCGGTGACATGCTATGTGACCGCTTGAATGCACTGAACTCACGTTCAAACGGTCGGGGGGCGCGTTCAAACGCGCTGTGCGCTACGTGGCACGAATTTGATGAACGCCACCCACCCATTAGTATGCGCGCATGGCGAACTAAGGGTCAGGGATTTGGTTCCTCAAAAAAAAAAAAAAAAAAAAAAAGTGTGGCGATGTATATTTCCATGTTATAGCGGTAAATTCATTCAATTTTGCTCATCCTATCGATGGAAGTACCATGAGGTCGTGAGGTCGGCCGCATG